CAATCCCTCTTTCACCAAATATAGTGATGGTAACGGAAGCTCTATAAGAAAAATAAATAACTTACACCCTACAATTAATCTACCTTTTCTGACGAATAGAAGCATGCCGGAAAAGAATTAGGCAAGGAAGATGAAAGAAAAAAAATAAAATAGAAATCATGCTTCTTTTCTAAAGGTTGAATGGAACTCAAAAGGCAAACCACGTATCTTCTGATTCTATGAAAAACAATGCGATTAACAGAAGTTTGAAAACACAAGCACTTCAAGATGGGAAGTGATGTGTTGCTAACTTGCAACAACAACAACAAGCATTCATCCCACTAAAGTGGGGTTAGTTGAACGAATCTTGTTCTCCGTTGTGTCCTCATGAGTGTCCTATTTTCATTTAATTTTGATAAATTAAGATTATTTTTTATATAACATGCCCAAATCTTTATCAAATGGAAGTCGAATGGCATCGAGTGTCAAATAAGTTGAAAATAAACAGACTCAACCATTAAATTTTGGCACCGCATGAATCAAAGCTACAATTTTGTCAACATAAATAATCAAGCTTTTTTGACAAACTCTCTACGATCATTGATGAATGGTTGTTAGATGTTGGAGCAACGCCACACTTGACTACTAATCAAAGTCAACTACAAATTCATAGCCTTATGGTGGAAATTTACAAGTTTCCCTAAGATATGGACAATTGATTCTGACAGCAGCTATGTATACTACATACAACTACGCATAAGCTTCGCTTGTCTCAACTCAATCATGTTATTAAACTCTCCTATGTTCAATTTGAAGTTCATAAACTTCTTAATGGTAATTTTTGTTCAATTCAATTGCTCCTTCGGGTTAAATAATCATGAATTTGAAAAGCAATCAATTTCTTCTCAAAGGTCCAAGCCATGATGATCTCTACCGTATCTGACCCTCTCGAAAGCCTCCTTCAGCAACCGGTAAACTTGCTTTACTTCTGTCGACCAAAATCAAACTTTCGCATCAAAATTCAGGCATCCATCTATTCAACATTCACTATTTTGGTAAAAAAAAAAAAAAAAAAAACAGAAAGGATTTGAAAAACTAGAAATGAAAATGGGTCTCTACCGTATCTGACCCTCTCCAAAATTAGTTAACGCATCTCAATATATTTTTATGCATGTTATCATGCAAAAAATTATAGAATTCATTTTTCTATTTCTCTTTATTTTATTCTGGTACCACTGGAGACAATTCACAATACTGCATGGCGTCCTTCCCAAATAAGTATTATACATCATTCATTGACGATTTCTCGCGTTATTGACAGGCGTATCCAATGTGTTACAAATCTAAATGACTACTCTTTCTCTTTGTTTGGAACAAAGATTTGAATGTCAATTCAATCATAAAATTAAGACTCATTGTTCAGATGGTGGAAAGAATATTTTAGCAATAACTTTCAAAGCATTCTGCATCAATTTGTTATCATTCACCAAATGATATGTCCCCATATTCATGAATAAAATGGAGAGATAAAACACAAACACCAACATTTGCTTAAAATATCTTGCATTCTTCTACTTGATTCTCATAATCTACACCAATTTTAGGACGACACACTTCTCATGGCATCTCGTCTAATTTATAGAATGTCTTCACCAAATAGCAACATTTTTTCTCACTATCATTTAAAATTTTGGGTGCATTTTCAACCCTTAGCTCAAACCATACCATCCAAACAATTAGATCCTAAATCTATTTCATATATCTTTCTTGCTTATGCCTCTCAATCCAAAGGCTTCAAATGATACAATCCAAATGCTAGAAGAATTCATTCATTGGCACATGCAATTTCACAAAGATAAACTTCTTTTCAATAATTTCCTTGCTCATTTCTCCCAAAAAATTTCTTTTCAATATATTCCCTGCTCATTTCTTCCAACAAACTTCTTTTCAAATGCTATACCGACCCATCCATCCAATATTAAATCTAACTCTTTCAGCTACACTCCCCCTTCTCCCAAATTTACTTCGCCTATTTCTATTCATTAGCTTAAACCTTCAACTTTCTCGACAACAACAATTCTGCCCTTGCAATATCTTCCATATGTGAGTCAGCCCTTCTCTACCTCCAACCTCTCTTCCAGAAACTGTTGCTTATATGCAGCTAATGTAAACTTAGCTATAGAGCAGCCATCTTAAGCTCAATTGATCTTTTTCAATTCACAGAGACCAATCCTACCACATATTCTGTGGCTTCCAAGATGGAGAAAAACTATGTCTAAAGAATTCAAAACTTTAAATGCCAAAGGCACCCAGACAATTAACCCTTTCTTCCAACTCAAAATGTAGAAGGCTGCAAGTGGATTTTCAAAACTAATGTGCAACAAAGTTGTCACTGTAGCTAGATATAAAGCTCATCTCGTTGCATATGGTTACAAATAGGAACAAGGTCTTGATTATAATGAAGTCTTCAATCCTGTAATTAAGATGCTGATTCTTCGTGCTTTTCTTGCTGTGGTCCTCCACCATACCTAGCCCATCACTCAATTCCATGTTTTCAATGCATTTTTATATAATCATCTTAATGAAGCTGCTTACATGTTCCAATCACAAGATTTTATTGATTATCAACATCATGACATGTTTTTCTCTTACATAAGGCTAGCTATGGTCAAAAGCAAGCTCCAAGACAGTGGCCTGCAACCCTTTTGAATAATACAGAGCAGTTTGATTTTACATTCAGTGGTATTGATCCATCATCTCTTGTCTACAATCAAAATGCGATCACTATGTACATTTTGACCTATAAATATTATATCTTTCTCATCAGAAACAATACAGATACCATTGTTGCGTTGCTTCACAACCAACAGAAACAATTCAATGTGTAGAATCTTGGCCATATTTGTGGTTACTCGTCAATCAAGCTGCATTAAACTCTTATGGATTGCATCTAAATCAGTCAAAATATGTACTGTAAAGAACATTGTGAGTCCATTCAAAATCCAAGCTCTAATAAGTCTTCATTTTCTGATATAGACACTTTAGTTTGTTGCTAATTCAGAGGCAATTGATCACGGATAATAGCATAATCTTTGAAGCCGCAGCAGCAAGAAGAAGCTGCTGAATCGCAACAGGAAGAAGATATCTACAGTGGGAATCAACAGAAAACAGCCAACATAGAAAATGAAAAATAACTGGAAACAATGCACTTCAGGATTTTAGAGAAAAGAACAAGATACAATGACAAAATCACCACCTGAGAGCCACCTCAGGAAGCAGCCGCAAGAAAAGCAAAGCCAACCTTCTGGAACAGCCAGAAAACTATCCAAAATCTGCCTTCCGTATGCACAATAACCATATTCATAAAAGCTAGACTCTCCTAATTACAAGTATGTCATCTTAAAACATAAAGACACAAATAACAAACTAAAACACAAAAACCAAGATATAGACTGAAATAAAACTCTAGCTCCAACATCAATCATTTAGGCACTTTACATCATCTTACTATCTTGGTAAATCATTTATGTCAATTATGCATCAACCATGACCTCAACATTTATGGATGTTAAAAAGACTATTTAAATATATAAAAGGAACTATGCATATGGTTCAGCTATTCATTTAGGATTACTTATATTTAAAGCTTATTTAAATTCTACCTTTGCTAGTGATCAGCTGACTGAAAGTTTAAGGTTAGTTTTTTGTATCTTTCTTGAAAAGCGTCTAATCTGTTGGTATGTTAAAAGGCATTCTATGGTTGCTTTCTAGATTGTGATAATATATTGGCTAATTGAACCCTACCAAGAAAACATCAAATATTAACTTTTTGCTAATCCCGCATATTAAAAAAATGGCTAATTGAACCCTGCAAAAGAACAATGAACTCTTCACCTGGTAAGAGTTGAAACAAAATATCTTTCCAAAATCAGTTACTGGGCTTCAATTTGACTGAAAGCATGAAAAATGGAAGACTAAAATGCCAAAAAATAAATACAAGTCAGATGAAAAAATTGGGGTAAATTCATCTGCTGCAAACAATAAATACATAGTCAGCCAAAGCAGGACCTAATGGCCAAATCTTTTGGAAAAAAAAAAGGAGGGATGAGGAGGGGTGAGACACATCAACATTAGCCCAAAATTAGTTGACCAAAATCACTGTTCTTAATATATGTTCTAAAAAACTGGATCTATTTGTTTCATACTCACTCATAACGCATCCACCAATCCAAAAATTTCAAGAAAACCAATAATAAATTTAGCTAAATCATGCTATTAAACCAACCAGCAGAACTTAATAAAAACAAGGAAGATTTAAATACATACCACGGAATTCTTATGCATATACACATCTAACGCCTAAACTTTCAATTTTTACATGCAAAACAAAGGTCAGAACCAACCCTCCGATTCGAGATCGCTTCCACTGTCAATCGAATCAAACTCTAAAACGGGTGCCGCGTCGTAGTTAGGAAGCTGGAGTTCGGCACACTGAACGACCGCCGATACACGGGCCCGAACGCCAAGGAGGTTGGGATTTGCAACAACGCCGAAGGTGCGATAGTTTTGAAGGTAGCTTCCCTTGTCATCCCAGATCCTTTTCTCCTCACCCGCAGCGTCCGAAGAAGCGGCGGCGAGCGAGAGTAGCTCCTCCGGTATGGTGAATGTCGGCTTGAAGATGCCGGGCTTCTTCCTCGGTAGCCCTACCCTCACTTTCGGGCGAGATTTCTTGTACTTCCTCCGCGATCTCGCCATCGTTTGCCTCTGCAATGTCTGCTCGGATTATAGAGATTTCAACAGAGTTCGCGCCGCTCTAGGGTTATTTCACGGATGTAAGGTCAATCAATTTTTTTAAAAAAAAAATATACAAAAATTTAAATTGAGAACCACCAAAATATGTAGATCATTGTAGAGTAGATCAATCATCACATGCATCTCACGCATCTCTGCATGCTGCATGCAATGCCCGTATGCAATCATGCATCTCTGCATGCTGCATGCAATGCCCGTATGCAATAATTTTTCATTGACCGCAGAAAATAAATATTAATTGTTTTATATTTTATAATTTAAGCATATTTAACCTTGCTGCATTTATATACATTCCATACCACCCAATTTTTCATGTATCTATATATCTAACACCTACAAAGCTTTAATTTTATATTTATATCATTCAAATCTTTCATATCACATCATAATATTACCGCTATAATTTTTGAAAAAGTAAAAATATATATTTTTCATGCATAGTAGATGATTTGCTCGTAAAAATTGATATTTAAATGTTAAACACGTACATATATAAGAATTAAGTGATATATGTAAATCTTCCTTTTAATATTAATATGAATATGATACATTTTATACATCACACAATTCTTATACATTTAACACTTTACTTTAATATTTATATTTATAGGCTCAATGTTCTCAAATTTTTAACATCACATGAAAATATCATTATTACTAATTTCTTAAAAAGTGAAATATTCATTTTTATTCATAGGTTTGTAATGACAAAGTCTTTTAAATACATATTGTCATATATGCACATACTATTATAATTTCATGTGCACCAAGTGCACTTGAATGACAATTAAAAAGAATATAACATTTTTAAATATTTTTTAGCTAACAATTTTTAATTAAAATGATTAAAAGAATAATTTTCCTATAATTAATAATAAGAATATCATACCAATGAAAATTTTAATTATTTATTTTAAATTTATAAAAGAACACATAATTTTTTTCAACAGAAGCAAACAATTAAGACCTTACAAACAAAGCTTATAGAAATATTTAGTTCAAAAAATTCTTAATCCAAAAATTTAAATAAGTTTGCATGTATTACTTTGTGAAATGTAGATTAAAAAATATATATTACAATAATAAGAAAAATTATAAATAATTATTTTTAACAATAAAAAAAAAACATTTTTCAGCCATTTTGTTTAAATTTATTTTATTTAGTGTATTTCAAATTATTTTTTAATTTTAAAAATTTGACAATTTAATATAGACACTTGTATTATATTTATGATAAATTTTATGAATGATTAAGAAGAAGTTAAATAACTATGTTAACAATTAGAACATAGATTACAATCATAATGGAGACAATACATATAGCATAAATTCAAAAGGAAGATAAATTATATATATGACAAACACATGCTAATTTGAATAAGAAGTGATGATAATTACAAAAAGTAATATAACATAATAATTTTGTACTCAAAATTTTAAATTTTGGTGTTCCAAACTTAGATCCAAATATATGATTGCATGTAAAATTATATTTCATTCAATTTTTTTTCCTTTTAGATTGATACTTGCTTGGATGTCATATCATTGTATAAAAATTAAGCTAAAATAAATAGCTTTTATACTATTTACTTATAGAAGCTATTTTTTTTAAATACAAGCTCAAGCTATAATTTTAGTTCAGGTTATTGTAGAAGATAGTTAAATATTAATAAAATTTGTCAAAAATTGGAGCAAAATGTTGGATTGTCAAAATATTATTCTCTTATTATTATTATTATTATTATTATTATTATTTTACGTTGAATAGTGTACAAATAAATACAAAAATGCATTTTAAGTAAAATATAAATACATGCATATGGCTACTATAATTAACTAAATGATAAATTAATAAAAGAACAAAAATCAAAAGAATGATGAACATTAGATAGTGGATTGTTGAATTCAGATTTGTCCTGTGAATCACATGCAAGGAATAGAGCATAGGATGGTTGGATGAAACAACGAGAGAATGAGGGAGAGAGAGAAAGAGAGAAAGAGAGAGAGAGAGAGAGAGAGAGAGAGAGAGAGAGAGAATGCTAGAGTTTAGATAGGGAGAATCAATAGTCTTTTTTTATAGAAATAACCCGCTGTTTATAGGTTTTGGATGTATCTAGTATACAACTACATATTTGTCCTTATTTTAATAGGAGCGTTACAATATATTATGACACATTTTCATATTCATAACCAACTTTGACTCGTTTTTGAATTCATAACCTATTTTGGCTCCTTTTCATATTCATAACTGATTTTGACACCTTTTTATATTCATAACCTCTTGAATATGAGTATCTGATGACCCGTTAACCTTATTACTTGGTCGAATGAAAGTCTTCAGTCGGAAGACATTCAACCACTTGATCGAAAGGTCGTCGGTCGACCCTTTAGAGAGAAAATAATGTGAAGAGGCACTTCTGTTATCAGAATAAACTGGGTCGTTAAACAGAGGGTATATCACCTTAATCTGACGGGTACCCTTTTTTGGACGAGCCTTCTCAGAGGGTCAGAAATGTGTTTTTTGTGTGTGTGTGTGTGGGGGGGGGGGGGTTTTTTTTTTTTAAATTTTTTAAAAAATATAAGTTGATGATTACAGATGCCTCTTGTCTCACAGGCGGGAAAGGGTTACTAGATTTCTACTTTACAACGTCGACTGATGACGTATAGTAAGCGGTGGTTGACGGAGATGAGCGGTGGCTAACAACAGTCAATGACGGTCGGCGGTAGTTGACGGAGGTCAGCGATGATCGGCGGGGGTCAACGGGGGGTGGGGGGGGGGGGGGGGGGGTGGCCTTAGGCAAATTTTATGAGGAGCTCTGTAATCTACTGAAAGAGTTGGTCATGAATAACTATCCCTCAAATTAGTCTTCTTCTATCTCTTCGCTCAATTGTGCTTCCGTTCAGTCGACTCATAGTTCTAACCAAAAAAATTGATACTTGATATTTCCATTTTTTGACCATCTCAATGCACTGTCCTTTGTGATTTTCAGTGAGATCCATTAGATTTCCTTGAGATTTTACTAACGCATTTTCATGAACATATTTAGTTCTCCAATTTTCTTACTTTTTCAAAGCGATAATTGCGATAAGAATAAGATAATTAAATGCAAAAATTGATTGTATTGCATAATAAATACTTTTAATAATTAAATTTCCTAGATTTTTGTGACCGCAGTCCCTATAAATATGGCATGATTAACATTTCTCTATCACTTTTATCACAATTTCTAGCTTTTAAGTCGGTTATCAGCAGAAGATATCTTTATGGAGAGTGGTGAGAAGGCTTATGTGGAGGGGATGAATGAGTCAGCAATGATCTTTATGTGAGTTTTTAAATCTTATTTGTTCTTTTTTTTTTCTTAAGAAATCTTATTTGTTCTCTAATTTTCTCAAATAATGTGTTGATTTGATGTGAATTTTTTTTTTTTTCTTAAGAAATCTTATTTGTTCTTTAAATTTCTCAAATAATGTGTTGATTTGATGTGAATTTTTGGAGATCGAGGTACAGCTCTGGTACAACTCTGTGACGTTTCAACTTTTCTGAGTGCCTTATATATATATGAGTCTAGTGTAAAAAAAAATTATTGTGCTTTACAAATTCTTATTTCCCTTCCCTTCAGTCTTTTTTGCCTCTCCCCTTGGGTCGGTTCATTTCACTGATTTGCATGGCTTCCAAATACTCCTCTCAACTCTTTGGTTTCATGTCAGCGAATTAGAAGTTTTTCCTTTCGTCCTTTTATGTGGAGTTGCTTAAAGACAATTGCATGTATAATTTGAATATAACACTTAAGGTTGTGGGGCCGGAAGTTGGGGCAACTGATGATTTCAGCGAAGATCAGATTTTCTATAGAGAGCAGTTTTGATGGGAACTTCAACAACCCTTCTACCCCGAGATTTGATCGATCATGAACCATAATGGAGTAATCCCCATGAACTTCATCATTTTGTGCTATAATTGTTAGCTTCTATGTTTGTAAGTTAATATTCACCCTATCAATTATAAGAAAAAGTCTACCAAAATAATAGGGATCTTAGCATCTTCCTTCATATGTAACACAATGAACTCAACTGGGAAGATAAAATTTCCTAAATTCACTGGGATGTTTTCTATAACGCCCTTTAGAAAATTTAAAGAATGGTATGCTAATTGAAGGGTCACAATGGTAGATTAAAGCTCTCCTAATCCTAGTCTTTCAAACACTAAAAAAATCATTAGATTTTTGTTAGCTCCGGAGTTACATAACGTCCTTCCAATAAATTGGCCTCCTATAATGCATGAAATGATAAATCTAACCAGATATTTCAATTTTTTTGAGAGATTTATTTGAATTATAGCAATATAGTTTTTAATTAATGCTTAAATTTTGAAATTTGAAAATTTATATTTCTTATTCAAAACCTCCTTAAAAAATTTTCTATGATTGGACATTTGTTCAAGTATTTTAGTAAATAGAATGTTAATAATGGGCTTATTAAATATTTCTAAATATTTAAAGTATTGTCGGTCTAATTTTTTTTTAATCAACCTCTTAGAAAATGTGGTGGTGGTCACTTATTTTATATATGAGGTGATGAAAGTGTTTTTCCAAAGTTTGGGATAAGTTTTTATATAAATCTATTAGGCTTAGACTCGGGCTCCTCTATTCAAGTTTTTCCATTCTAGGCTTCTCAAGTACCTTCCCACTCATAACTTTTATGGCATTGTAGTGCTCCACATACTGGTCTTTTGGATTCACCTTTGTATTGTTATGTAACTTCCTTTTGGTCTCTGGCTCAATGAGTTAATTGTTTGCCAAAGTTTTGTTCTGAATTTTCTAATAGTCGCATCATGGGTTTGTATTTGAATCCCCATGTTCAATACTACTTCTTCCAATGATAGTTTTTTTTTCCTTAAATTATGAATTAAAAGTGAATCTAGGAGGGTAGGTAAGTCTTGAGTTGCCACTACCTTGATTATTCCAATTACCTACAGAGTTGGATTGGTTATACTCCATTTTAGGTTTTTTTCTTGTGGTTATTGTTATTCCGGTCAGGGAAAGAAGCATCAACGTCTCATTCTAAAGGTCAATAGAACCCTAAAGAGTTCAACTATCCTATAGATTTATGTTCAGTTGAAATTAATCTTCTATTCCAGATCTTCAATGCTCATCTCTGTCAAACAAAGTTAGCACATCCTAGGACGACGATCCACTCCTTGTCTTGAGTAATCCTGCAAAACTGAGTTAGCAAAAAAAATAATGTTTATTTTTGTTTGTTGAGTTTTAAATTTTTAGACAACCTAGTCAAGATGTCTATGGCTCCATCGTCCCAGGGTTGTTAGATACATTGATCTACTTAGTATGAAAGGTGGTTAAACAAGTTCTAAAAATTCTTGTCAACAACTGCAGATTGCATCGTCCAAGAAATCTTCGTCATGGCTCCATCATCCCAGGGTTGTTAGATACATTGATCTACTTAGTCTGAAAGGTGGTTAAACAAGTTCTAAAGATTCTTGTTAACAACTGCAGATTGCATCGTCCAAGAAATCTTCGTAGACCAAAGCATGTTGAGTTAAAGTTGCGTTCAGTGGTCTTTGATCATTAAGGTTTCATTTAAGTTTTAATGTTTTGAAAATTTCTAGTTTATTTTTAAAATTTAAAAATTTAAATTTGATAATTATACGCTTTTAAGTAGACCACTTTGTTTATAAGTAGAGTCATAAGTCCGATCTTGACCCATCTAATCCTTCTCCTAACAATGACTAGAGTTGACAACCCTCATCTTGATCAGTAATTCTCATCCTAAGAAGGCATGGAGTTGACAAGACTAAGCTTCCATCTTATCCAATATGATCCTCTTTCTGATAAGAATCATAGTCAACAAGACTAAGTCCTTACTAAGTCAATCCAATCCTCATTTTTGTAAAGAATATAGTTGACAGGATTGATTCCTTGGCAATATTCAAATGATATGGCCTAATTAAATAATAAATATAAATAGTTTAAGTATTTCAAATACAACATTGATGATGGTCATGTTGAATGTAAATATCAATCAAATGGGTCTATCCATAAAAATAAAATTTTAAATTATAAAGATTAACAAAAGTTTAAAAGAAAATTTATCATCCAAATATAAAGAGAAAATATCAGCAACCCTCCACACTAGTTTGTAGATAGTGATAAATTTATGATTAACCAAACCTCATAAAAGTCATTGTCATGTTAAATACACTAGAGTTGTCTAAAATTGACTAGACATGCAAACTCAACCCTTGCTCAACCAAAAAAAATTGGATTTGAGTTGCCAGAATAATTTTGCAGTCGAGCTCAATTTAAGAATACTAATTTGTTTAAATTTTTTTTTGTCAAGCTTGGGTTAACCCACAAACCTTGAATTGCCAAAAAATTACCCACTAATGCTAATTTGACTAAGACATGTCAACCTGAAATTAACCCAAAATTAACTCAAATTATACCTAAACTTGACCTGAACAACTGCTATGTCTAATGTTAAATGGTATATATAAGTCGGGTTCAGGTCAGCTGGCTAAAAGTTGGTCTGGTTTGAGCTAGACTTTTTGATCTATTTAATATTTGATTTAGGTTCAGTGTTAGCTATTTCAAGTCGAGTTAATTTCATTTCAAACTTGAATTTGATCTGCAACTCCAATTTGACACATTAAAAGTATTATTATGTTACCACTCAAAATAATCTCTTGTTAGTATAGATGTGGCATTTGTCCTCTATTCAAGTGACTTGACCAATCGACACCACAAATGAATTAATTATGATCAGAGCCCTTGGGTCAAGTGATATGGTCAAACAAGCCCACTATACTATAATCAAGGCTATAACATGTATGTCATCTAATAACTTTACTTAATTTGAGTAGTGAATTATAAGATATATCTGATCAAAAAATAACTCTATAAACTAAGATCAAACTTAAATTCATCCTCTTAAACAAAATTCCAACTTAGGTAGGTCATCAAAGTTTTTGTGGATGAAATAATCTATGACTGCTAACAAGGATTCTCGGATTTGGTTGACTACCTCACCTAATTAAATATGTTAGGATTTATGACAACCTGGGAAGAATGAAGCATGAGATCTTAATAGGGTTATCATAATTCTCCCACAAATGTGCTCTAAGCTCATAATAATATTTTTCATAATCTAAAATTAAATCTACTACTATTATTATATGAAAAGTCTAAATACTTGATTTCTAATGATTAATCTTAATAAAAAAAATATTATATTATTATCATTAGGGATAATTAACTTTAGGAGCTTGGGCTTATTAGAAACTTCAAATCCCAAATCTTAGAAGTCATCATAAATTCAGTTATCCATGTCTTAAAAATTAGACCTTAACTCTCACGTAAAACTCTCATCATTCTTTTGAATAAGGCCCATCATACTTTTGAATAAGGCCGTGGCACAGATTTTCAAGGCCCACATCGCCTGTCGACCTAGAACCCAGTATTTTCGTTTCTAGAGCCTATTCATCTTTATTTTTAATAATTAAATAAGCCTCAGTTTAGTTAACATATTAAATTAATCATTATCACATAAAAATACTTCATATTGAATTCGACTAATTCGATTACAAATATACTTCAATATACCTAAAATAATTTGAAGATTTACATGCATACCACCCAATTCTTATGTATTTACATATCAAACACCTACACTTCATCTTTTACATCACAAATCGCAGAATAAATGGGCATCAAATAACTGCAAACTAATTTAAGTTTGAGCCAACACGACCAGATATTATAGCTTCCAATAAATCCTGAAACGGTGTAGAATGCCAGAGACAAGCGCCCAGAATAGGATTTGAGCGAAGATAACATAGAGGAGAATGCCCGCCCTTCTTGAATGCCAGACATTGATAAATATGTGCTTCTTAATCCAATAAACCTATACGCAAAAATTTGCATTTCTCAGTGTAATGTGATTGGGAAAAGTGATCCATGTTTTGCTGATATAAAACACATGCATACCACCGAGTTCCGACGTATTTACATATCTAACACCTAAATTTTACTTTTTATATTTATATCACCGAAGACTTTCGTATCATGTCAAATATATCACAATTTTAACTTTAACAAGTGGAATGCACTTTTTCATGCATTGGGACAGTGGTATATATGTAAAAATTGAAGTTTAGGTGTCAGGTATGTAAATACATAGGAATTAAGTGGTAATGTGAGTAAATCTTCTTATAAAATAAAGAATAAATCTTATTTTAACTAAAAATGCTATAAGTATCATTTTTAAATAGAAGATGTAATTACCAGAGTGTTGTTTGGGCTCTCATAATACCACCCATTGAGGAAGCCTTCAAAGATGCCTTCTGCAGCCATGACAAAGACTAGCATGGCATTCATGCCAATCCACTCCAATGGCATAAAGATTGTGCGTAGATGTAAAATGTCAACCTGAGATAAACAAAAGAGGAAACAAGTAATTTCCTTAATGCTGGTTCTCTCCAAAGAAATAAGTTAGGAAAATGATATTAAAAAAGGTTAAAAATTACACTTTCCGTTTTCATGATTCTCCAATGGAATGAAGAGTTTACAACTGGGAATGGTTTAGTTTATAAGAAAAATAGATTCTAGTTTGCTAAAAATATAATAAATATTGAATCAAAGAACTCTCTATCCTCTTAAATGAGACTTATGACAAGACAGCCAAGCATGCGGATACGAACACACCAGATTAACTCGTAATTACCGTAAGAGAAGCTGGACGGATGCCATGGACCGGTTGTGCAAGTTGATTAACCATAAAATGGAAATGACATGCCTTGGACCAAATGCACCAAAAATAAAATTATACCCACCGACTATTTGCAGGGAATCAAAAAGATTCCATATTACGTAAATGACCAATGTAGTCCCAGGAATTTTTAAATAGGAAACAAAATAGTGCCCCGGCAGGCTCTTGCAGTACCCCATTAAAAAATCATTTTGGTTTGTATTTAAATATTCTGGGGACTAAATTGACCTTTTGTGAAGTCTGCATCATGTTGTCCTCTTAAAAATAGTTGGGGAGCTATATTGGTTCTCTATTGTTGCTTATTCAGCCTTATAAATTCCATACAAGTTTAGAGAACCTGTCTTCTAATAACCATCAGCAGACTTGACATTATCACATACAGTGGTGAACCCGGGAAGGGCCTGATGTGGCTCTCAGCCTCCTCAGATTTGAGAGAAAACAAATGTAAACCGATATTAAACAGTTAGAAAGACATTACCAATATATAAAATACAGAAAACACAATTCCAGCTGCTCCAGCCGTAGTGCAAACATAACTAAAGCTATACAGTTGTTTGTTGAGCGGAATGGCTGCAAAAGATGTGTGATATTAGCAAGCCAACAGAGTTCAAGTAAGAAATTGGACTGTTTGCAATATAATTGTATGTCAAACGACTAGTTCTGTATCTTACCATGCACAAAATGCAGCAAAATTCCAAGAATGAGAAGCCCAAAACCAATCAAAACCCAATGCTTTAACCTATCCAGGTGGCTCTGTTAAGAAAGGAGAGAGAACAATGCAAGAAATTACTATAAAGTCTCTTTTAGCTTAGAGAAACAATTTAAAGTTTGATTTTAAAGCAGACCTTCATATGCAGAAGCACCTGCCCGTAATGTACTCCAATGATGGTGCTTAGAATAGAAGAGATTGAGCTGAACAAAATATCAAAAGGTTGAAGTTATACACTAGAAAAGGATATAATCATCCGCTTCTAAGAAGCATGATAATATCCAATATGAAGAAAAAAGTATCATGACTGAAAAATAGTTGTTCACAATAACAGGACATATGCAATAAACTATCAGACGTTTAAATTGTCTTAAAAAAATAGTTTCTGATGTTGTATTGTCGTTCTTTTTAAACATCCCGCGGTCCATACCGTCTTTTAATTTGAACAAATGGGTTGTTGTACTAACAAAGTTGTCTTAAGTTATCTAGATTAAATTTTGTCCCATTGAAAAAAGGACTATATTGCCTTAGGTCGTAGCTTATCCATGAAAACTGAAGCCTTTTTGTAGAGATAAACAGAAGAAATATTATGTGATCCTGACATTCCATTAATAAAACCAGGAAAATAAATAAAGAGAACGTGACAATTTGCTAACGTATAATGTATATGGTTCCTTTTGTGCACAATATTAGAGTATGGTTCCTTTTGTGCACAATATTAATAAACCCGATTGTCTGGCACTCAAGTATTGCCGAGTCCTTTGAAACTAATCAAACCAAACTAATGTCTCTTGATTTCAATATAGTTTTGATTCTGATGTCTCAGCTTTTGCGTAGAAGAGGATGCATAATGCATAATACTTGGAGTAAATATGAAAACCAATCATCAAAATCGTATTTCAGTAACTAAACAAGAGTTGTTCAAGAATCAAGATGTAAGTTCATGATGAAAGACACCATTACATTGTAAAGAGTGCTTTGAACTGAATCATCTAAGCAGAGATAGCACAACATCACCCACTGTTATTTTCTGCAAAGTGTTGACATGCTCTAGCGGCACCGGACAATGGAAACTGCCTCACAACATGAACACAAAATTGATTCAGGAGGTTCTCTTAAAAAGCTTCATAAAATTTCAAAAGCTTTCATAGGTCCAAAATACTTATAAGATGCTTGAAGAATATTCCATAAGAGGCCACAAAATTTATGCTTCAATTCATTAGGTGGGGTCAGTTCATGCATGATAGGGTGCCAAATCTGAAGGGCCATGGAACAAAAATTGAGAAAAGATTATGGTACATATCAGATTTATAACGACAATCCATTGCCGTTATTACTTCTTATTAGCTTTTATTCCCTCAATATGTATTTCCTATTTGCTTTATTATATTTTACTTCTTTCCTATTTGCTTTATTTGGTTTTATTTCTTTCCTTTATTATGTTTATTGTAATCGGGTTTAAATACCCCTCATTCTATCAATAATATGTGCTGCTCTATTCCAAATCCTTCCAGAAGATTATAGAAAATGATCGCATTTTCCAATTCTTGACTGGCTTTAACAAAGATGTTGACGAAGTCTAGGGTCATATTCTTGTTTGGGATCCTTTTCCTTTCACTCGAGCAACTTTCACCTAGATTCGTTGGGAAGAAAGCCAGAGATTTGTCATGCTCTGCACTTCTACTCCTTCAACCGAATCGTCCGCCTTGATCTTAAAAAGTGCTCAGTCCTCATCCATGCCATCTCAGACCGGTCACCCCACTCGCGGCTACTGTCACAAACCTAACCACACTCGGGACAAGTGTTGGAAACTTCACGGTAAGCCAGCAGAAAAATTTTCAGCCAAATCCTCTGCTACCAAAGGTCTACCGACGATGTCCAAGCCTACCACGACTCAACCGACTCCTATCCGAAACATTCCAGAATCATCTGAATCCATGAAGAATCAGATGGAGCAATTGATTAAACTTTTGGAGTCAATCAAATCACTGCATATCCATCAACCTCCCACGGTCGACAATGTACTCTTCCTATGTCTCACATGATTTATTCCCCCCTTAGCCCGTGGATTATTGATTCAACGACCACAAATCACATGACTAGATGTTCACCAACTTTCTCGGTTTACTATCCATGCTCTGGGAAAGATATAGTTAGAATTGTCGATGACACTTGTAGTTCTATTGCTGGTAAAGAGTTGGTTGTACTGACGACCGACCCAACTCTAGAGCAGTTTTACATGTTCCCCTATTACCATGTAACTTATTATATATCAGTAAGTTGACAAACAATATCGACTGCGTTGCTAATTTCTCTTCTGATGGTTATGTTTTTCAGGATCGTCGTTCAGGAATGATTGGAACTGCTAAGAGGGTAGGTAGACTCTACTATTTCCAATTGAAGAGCACGGAGAGTGAAGACACGCCACTCAGGAGTTGCAACTTATCTCAAGTCATTGAATGTCTCATTATATTGTTGCATTGTCGTTTGGGTATCCTAGTTTTCAATATTTAAAAAATATGTTTTCTAATAAAAATCTTTCTAATTCAATTGTATCATCGGGTCCATTATCCAACCCACACTTATAGATCCTCTACTCCTTTTTCCCTCATCCACAATTATATATGAGAACCCACTCGCATATGAGAACCCACCCGCACTCTCAGTTACACCAATAAACGGTGGTTCCTGACCTTAATTAATGACCAAACTCGAATGACGTGATTCTATATTTTAAAAGATAAATAAGAGGTTGTCACCTTCTAAAATTTCTACACCTTTGTTTTAGCTCAATGCAAAACTTCTATTCAGGTCCTTCGAACTGACAATGGTCGCGAGTTTAACTCTATTTTGGGTGAATTCTTGGTAAGTAAGGGCATCCTTCACCATAGTTCGTGTACGGACACTCAACAAAATGGGGTAGTCGAGAGAAAAAAACGCCACCTCCTCGACGTTGCTCGCTCCTTTATGTTTCAATCCAATATCCCGAAATGGTTTTAGAACGATTCCATTATGAATTTCACCTATTTCATAAATAAAGTCCCCTCTAAAATTCACAGTTTTGAACCCCCTTAGTCGTCATGATGTCATGCTTCCTTACAAATTGAGTCTTCTCCACATTAAATCCCAAGATTATTGAGTGCATGACCTTTGTTCGAAACACTGCCCCACTCGGAGTAAACTTGATCCCAGATTCATAAAATATATCTTCCTTGGGAACACCGTATCAGTATCTTGATACTACCACCAACAAAATCTATGTTAGTGTTGATGTCTCCTTTAAATGTGTTCTCTATTTTTCTAACTCAGCCTCAAGTGAGAGGGAACTTGAGTTCTCTGACACTATCCATTATCCTACTTCTATGGATGCTCCCCCCATTGTTCCTACCATCGAGGAATTTCTTGTTCCGTAGTACACCATCTCCTCGTCCCACTATCCATGTCTACACTCGGCGTACCCATCTCAATGCTCCTACTCTGGAGTCCACTACCTCCTTACAGAACCTTGACTCCTCTCTGGGAGACATCCTCAGCACGACCCCTCCTTTGAATGGGAACGTGAGTTCTCCAAGTAAAGTACGTAATCAAACATGCTCCCTCTATTCTATAGCAAAATATATCTCATTCTACAGTCCATCACTGACATACAGAGCATTCACTACCGCCATGACGAACCATCAAATTCCTGCTACTATTGAGGTTGCTCTTGTAGATCCAGCCTGAAAAATGACAGTAATGGAGGAGAAGAATGTCAAAGCGGAACTATACATAGGACGTCGTGGATCTTCCTCAGGGTAAAAAAGCTGTAGGGTGTCGGTTGATTTTCAGCACCATGTTCAACCCTGATGGATCCTTTGAATGCAATAAAACCCGATTGATCGCCAAAGGGAACTCACAAAACTACGATGTCGACTATGAAGAAACATTTGCTCCAGTGGCTAAGTTAAATATTCTTCGGGTCCTGTTGTCACTTGTGGTGAATCTAGATCGGTTTTTATTCCAACTAAATGTCAAGAATGCATTCTTGAATGGAGAGCATACATAAGAGATATACACGTCCCTCCCTCCTGACTTTGACTCTACTACCTCCAGAGAACAAGTGTTGTAGATTACGAAAGTCCCTCTACGGGCTAAAGCAGTCCCCAAGGGCCTAATTCGACAAGTTAACAAAAGTGATCGTGAGCCATGGTTTTACTCAAGCTCATTTGGATCACACTCATTTCTTCTGATATTCCTCCAGCGGCCAAGTAGCTATCTTTATTGACTCTGTTAACGATATTATTCTTACAAGTGACAATCTCCCAACATTGGAGTTCTTAAAAAACATTTTTGCTACATCCTTTGAGATGAAGAACTTGAGATCTCTCTGACACTTCATAAGCATGGAAGTAGCTCGGTCATCTCGGGGCAATTTCCTGTCTCAGCGCAAATATGTGATTGATCTCTTGATAGAGAATAATATTTTGCTGTCTAAACCTATTGCTAATCCTATGTATCCCAATAAAAGATTATCTGACATTCCCAATATTGTGCTTGTCAACAAGACTTATTACCATCTTCTTTCGAGAAAACTCATCTACCTCGCCTATAGTCGCCCCAACATATGCCACACAATTGATATAGTGAGTCAATTCATGCATGACCCCTATGAGCATGATCTCCACGTTGTCTATCAGATTCTCCACTATTTAAAAGGTACACCAGACTCAAGCTTGTTTTTTTCCAGTCACAACTCTCGGACTATTGTTGTGTATACACATGTTGATTGGGTCGGATTAGTTCATAACTAACGTTCCACTTAGGGTATTGCTCATTTGTATGGGGGCAACCTTGTCACATGGAAAAACAAAAAATAGTATGTGGTTACTCGGAGCAGTGCTAGAGGTGAATTCCGGTTCAAGCCTTGGGAATCTGTGAAGCTTTCTGGTTACGCATCATGCCCTGCGAACTTTGTATGCCCACCTCCGTCCTACTGTAATATTCTCTGAAAATAAGGTCATACTCAACATTGCTCACAATCCAATCTAGCATGATCGAACCAAACCTGTGGAGATTGACAGTCACTTCATTAAAGAAAAGATTGAATCCGAGAAAATTTGTGTTCCTTATGTGCCTTCCAGTGGTCAACTAGCGGATATCCTCACAAAGAATCTTCCTCGACCTTTGTTCAATGACTTCAAATCTAAGTTAAACACGACGAGCA